TCTCTCTCTGTCAAATAAATAAATAAAAATCTTTAAAAAATAAATAAATAAATAAATAAAATAAAAACAAAACTCTGTAAAACCTTTAACAAAGATGAGTAGAGGGAATTTTAAGACAAAATTCCCAAATATTCTCACCTGTTCCAGGGCCTGTATCACCTCAGACAAATCTTTCCTCACAATTTAATTTCCCAACTGGCAAATAAACATTATTTTCACTCATTGGGATGTGTCAAAAGTCTTGATTAAAGTTTGTCAAGTATTTTTAAATATATAGATAAAAGAAACTATAATGAGGATGTGTTGCCTTAAAGCCCTCACAGAAGTAAAGATTGTAGTGTGTTAGTTGGGGTTATTTTTGCTCATCACTCCCTCCCATTTTCAAATAAATTCTACTACCTCTCCATGCATTTTTCAAAGAAAAACAACCTTCTGCATTAGAGATCAGAGATGTTAACCTATTCTTTGGAGGGATTAGTGTTTAATCTAACCCTACCTAGAGGCCAAGAATCAAGATTTTTCTAAGACTAAGATTGGAAAAGAATAGTTTCTATCAGGTTAAGAAGACTAGTAGAGAAATCAATTTGGAGGAGAAAAGGAAATGCAGAAATTCCTTGAGGAAATTCTGTAACAGCTTCTGGCTTCAGACAATGATGTTATTCATTCCCAGCAATTTAAAAATTGATTCCAAATTACATTTAAGTTATAATAATCAATCAGAATTCAAATATAGCAAGATTTAAAAGGAAAAAAATAGGGGCAACTGGGTGGCTCAGTCGTTAAGCGTCTGCCTTTGGCTCAGGTCATGATCCAGGGTCCTGTGATGGAGCCCCACATCGGGCTCCCTGCTCAGCGGGAGGCCTGCTTCTCCCTCTCCCACTCCCCCTGCTTGTGTGTGTTCCCTCTCTCACTGTCTCTCTGTCAAATAAATAAATAAAATCTTTAAAAAAATAAAAGGAAAAAAGAGAGACAAATGAAGAAACAGACTCTTAATTATAGAGAACTGATCCTAACCAGAGGGGAGGAGGTGAGGGGATGGGGTAAATAGACAAGGGGGATTAAGGAGTGCACTTGTCTTGATGATGTATGGAAGTGCTGGATCACTATATTGTACACCTGAAACTAATATACTACTGTATGTTAACTAACTGGAATTAAAATAAAAGCTTAAATTAAAAAATATATAGCAAGCTTTATTTTTTCTCTTTTAAATTTGAGTTTACATCAGAATTAAATCTCATACATTAACACTGTTGTTGTCATCTCATGTATTTTTTCTATATATAAACTTTTTTGTCGGCTGGAGGGTAGCTGGATATGGTTGTAAGCTTACCAGTTTTATATTCTGTATTTTTTTTCCTTTAATAGTAATATCTTAGAGGCTGTGGCTGTGTTAGAAATAGGGATGTTGATGTACAGTGTGTTGTTGCTTGTCCTGCATCTTTCCAGGCCCCCAAGCCTTTGCTCATATTTTTTCCTCTATGTGGGCTGCCCTCCCCTACCTCCATTCCTGCAAAGTTAAATCCTATCCATTTTCAAGGCCCACCTCAAATGCTCCCTTCCCTGAACTCTGATAACACTTTCTCTAATATATAATGTTACTGAGATTGAAAGGGTGTGTATCTGTCTTTCCTACGACATTGTGAGACCCTCTAGTCAAAAAACACCCTCTCATATCATGAATGTAGACACAAGAAAGTTTTAAAAATAAAATCTCAGTTCAAAATACCCTTTAAAAAGGATGAGAGGGGCACCTGGGTGGCTCACTCGGTTAAGCGGTGGACTCTTGATTTCGGCTCAGGTCAGGATCTCAGGGTCGCAAATGGAGCCCCACCTCCGGCTGGCTCTGCACCCAGCACGGAATCTGCTTGTCCCTCTCCCTTTACTCCTCTCCCTGCTTGCACGTTTGCTCAATCTCCCTCTCTCTCAAATAAATAAATTAAATCTTTTTAAAAATTAATAAATAAAAAGGATGAGATAAGCAGTCTATTCAATTAGTGGGGCTGCTAGAACCCACTGTCTTCATAAGTGAACTCAACTAACTTGATTGCAAACTCATTTGAGGCCAGGGACTCTGTCCTGTTTCTTGTGTATATCCCCTACCACCCCCACACCTCAGTATCACCCTATTCAATGTCCTGCACACATTAAGATTCAATACAAAACCATATTACTGCAGATGAACAGACTATAAAACAAAAATCAGATGCTAAAAATACGAACTTGTGAAATGAAAGAGTCGTTGGTGCTTAGGAAAACCTCAACGTCTACAGCAAAGTGTCAGAGATACAGATACCACAGGGATAGAGAAAAACTTTACTGGGACTGGGGCAGAATGAACAAAATGAAATGGAGACAAGAGTGTTCTCTCAGTTTAGCTTATGCTCCAAGAGAAAGCAAGAAGAAAAAAAAAATTTTTTTTTACATCATTTCATTAATGGTCATCAGTCCATATGATTTCCAATACCGGGCACGGACCTTCTTGTACCTTCAACTAATTAGATAACATAGGCCATTGGATGATCAGGACACTTTCCCAGAAGGGTACAAGAAAAGTGACACGGGTCAGGCTCAATCTCCCCTCCATTATCCCCTGCTGGGAAGGTAAAACACAAGTGTGGTAAATACCAGAGTTGTGAAGAAGTGAGAGTTTGGAGACTGCCCCTGATTAAAATGACCCCGCTACACTCGGTAGTAGAGGCTGACAGTGCAGAACACATCTCCGGTAGAAGGGGACAACAGGAAGCCTATATAGGACTTACCTGGTTTTTCTTTCCTACGGTTAAACCTCACGAGCTACGCAGCCCGTGGCAGCGGCAAATCCACGCGCAGGTTCCAATCTCACACACACGGAGAAGACACAGGAGTGGTGGCGTGGGGGGGCGGCGGCGGCGTCGAGGACAGCGGCAGCGGCGGCGGCGGCGGCGGCGGCGGCGGCACTCCCACGGCTTCTCTTCCTCCACCCACCGCCGCCCGGGCCTGCGGCCTTTACCCGTCCTTTCCTCACTCCCCCCACTTCCGGGTGACGCCCAGGCCGGAAGCAGGGCCTGAGATGCAAAGAGAGGGACGCGTCACGTGAAGAGGGACGCGAGCCCCAGAGTTGAGCTTCTCCCGCCCCCTGCTGCCCCTGGGTTGACACGCACCCTCGGGTGGAAGTCTCTTGGGCGCATTAAGAGAACCGTCCTTCCTCCCATCACCAAAAACAAAACAAAATCCCACCAAAACCTGTGTCATCTGTAGTTTCCTAACCTCGAACCATGAAGTACCATAGACCTCTTTGTAAATCATCTGCATAGTTCAGCCTTTCCCAGCATGAAATTAACGTGGTTCTGTTACTGTGTAACCTAACTCCAGATGCAAATGCCAGAGCTATGAACTTGCACTCGTCCCTCCATTAAAAAATTATCTCAAAAAAATTTTTTATTCATGCTTTTGAATTCATAATCTTTGTGTGTTGGAGTTGGGGCGGGCATCTCACCTCACACTACCTTAATATCGCCAATCTAAAGCTTTGAACTACTTGACCATTTATCCATTCACTTGTCCATCATCTTAAAAACCTAGAGGATTTCAAGGATGCAAAGAATATTAGAGTATCTACCACCATGAGTTTAGAAAGAAATGAGATGCATAAAATGTATACGATGCAATAAATGATACAGAAAGCATTTGAGAAGTGTATTTTTAATCCTGTTTCCCCATTTTCACATTTAAAAAAATAGAAAAATCCTAATATTTTTATTTTTTTTAAAGATTTTATTTATTTATTTGACAGAGACATAGCGAGAGAGGGAACACAAGCAGGGGGAGTGTGAGAGGGAGAAGCAGGCTTCCTGCGGAGCAGGGAGCCCGATGTGGGACTCGATTCCAAGACCCTGAGATCATGACCTAAGCCGAAGGCAGACGCCCGACGACTGAGCCACCCAGGTGCCCCAATCATAAGATTTTTTAAAACAATGAATATTAACAGTAAGAGGAACAGGCTCCATCTCACTAAATTCAAAGTGAGGTGTGGTCTTTTCATATTTCCTTTCATTAAATATCTGTCATGAGATGTATGGGGAAATTAATTATATTTTCAGCTGGAACCGTTTGAACCCAGTTCCCATAAGAAAAGTATCAAGTCGGGGCTCCTAGGTGGCTCAGTCGTTAAGCGTCTGCCTTTGGCTCAGGTCATGATCCCAGGGTTCTGGAATCGAGCCCCACGTTGGACTCCTGTCCGGCGGGAAGCCTGCTTCTCCCTCTCCCACTCCCCCTGCTTGTGTTCCCTCTTTCGCTGTGTCTCTCTCTGTCAAATAAATAAAATCTTGAGAGAGACAGCGAGAGAGGGAACACAAGCAGGGGGAGTGGGAGAGGGTGAAGCAGGCTTCCCGCTGAGCAGGGAGCCCCATGCGGGGTTCAATCCTAGGACCCTGGGATCATGACCTGAGCCGAAGGCAGACGCTTAACGACTGAGTCACCGAGGCGCCCCAGGATCAAGTCTTTTTTAGTAGATTTTATTTGAGAGAGAGAGAACGCGCGTGCACGAGCAGGGGGAAGGGCAGAGGGAGAGGGAGGATAAGCCGACTCCTTGCTGAGCAGGGCTGGATCCCAGGACCCTGAAGTCCTGACCTGAGCCTAAGGCAGACGCCCCAGGCGCCCCTCAAGTCTAATAATGTTGCCAAACTCAAAATAGTACACAAAGTATAAATATTAAATATTTGTAAAAGGCTTAGGGAAGTGGCACACACTAACCATATTTAAGTGTTAAGTAAACCAATTATATCCCACCTGTTGTCAAATTCCTATTAAGCCTTGACAGGCAACTTTTAAAATTGCCCACAGATCTAAATTTTAGGCCTGTAATTATTTCAGAAAGAATTATTCCTTCCCCATCTATTCCCATCCACATAAGTATCTTCAAGACTACTAAACTTCCCAGCCATTAAGTTGTAACTGTCAATCAATGTGCACAACCTTAAGTCACAAATTCAACCCCAAATTTAAAATCTGAAAAATCACATCACACGGGGACACTTGGGTGGCTCAGTCAGTTAAACATGTGCCTTCAGGGCGCCTGGGTGGCTCAGTTGGTTAAGCGACTGCCTTCGGCTCAGGTCATGATCCTGGAGTCCTGGGATCGAGTCCCGCATCGGGCTCCC